CTTAGCAGTCAGATCATGCTTTGTTTGTCTCAAAGACAATATAACTGCTAGTCTTAACAACTTTGACAATAAATATTAACAAAACTAATTCCTATCTTCACGTATGGTTGCATCTTCCAACCATATCCTATAATTGGTATGCCCCTGTCTAGACTCTGTACAGTGCAAAGCATGAACAAGTATTTTGTGCCATTTTTTCAGAAACAGGAATATCCATTTGGTTTCATTGATTATAAAATTATAAGTCATAATTCAGTTTATAGTGAAATGAACAGTAAACATAGACTACATATTTCATTGCAATTTCTCTTTTCAGCCATGTCTGGCGATAGCAGGAGTTAATAATCCAGCTGGTCGTTTTACGATTGTCATTTCAGCAATTTCTGCCACTCAAAAACAATGAAATCACATCGTTTCTTGTTTTTTGAGATGCAAAACCCACTGATTTGTTAGCAGCTAGAAACCTGCATAGAACTACTAAATAAAAGTTCAGCTTTTGAATTCTCAAATTCCTTAACCCGCCTTGTGATTGTGGATTTGTTTCAGTTCGCATAAGAGGCAAGGCTTGTGTACATTAATACGCCACCATATGCTTTTATTATGCTTATTTATGAGTGTTCTCTTTCCCTTTCTCAGATAATGATAGACACCTAAATCTGAAGCTCACCTAAACCATTTGTTTCAGCGTACCCGCCAAACTTTTTGCAAACAATTTAGATAGTTTGCTAATTACTGGTAGGTAGCAAATATATGTTAATTTTTTTATTATTTTTTTTATTTAGTTATTTCAAAAATCTTGCTCAGCTAAAACAGTTTTACACCAGTGCATCAAACTAACAACAAGCTTGATAACATTTCAGAACAAATTTTCAGATAACACATGTGTCGGTTTGACTGTGCATTATCATATGACATACATAAAACCAAAGCAGTGGAAAGTGAAAATGACTGACACCATACTGAAGGAGTTACGCTACTGTAACAATCTGATACTATCGCATACTGATTAGTCAATTAAAATCATCGTTTACTGCTTGAGAATCCAAGTCTGACATCTCGTTCCTTTTCATATTGTCGGTGTTCCGTCCTCTCCAAGAAAGCTTGTTTCTCTAAGTAACTGTGAATGATGGAATAAACAGGTCTTTATCAATTGATATAACCAAATATAATAGTTAATCATTTACAAGCTTATTATGAATGCTGTTTGGCACTTTTATGTTTCTATGGACTGGAAAATAAGCTTCAATGAAAGAGATTTTTAAGATACCAGTCAAGCAAAAATGCTTAAATTGGAGATGTGCTGCCAAAAAATACAATTCAGTAAAAATTATGTCACAGTGGTGGGAACATAAACTTTAAAAGACAAATAATCCTACCCTTGTTTTCCTTTGTTAAACTGTGACAACTCTTCATCTATTCCCTCTTCCGATTTAAACGAATTCCAATCTAAACGAGATTTTTCCTGTAAAAAGAAATATCAGCAAAGACAAAACATATATCTGGCAAATCAAAAGATGGCATTCTTGATAATTGTAATTTCAAATTTGATTGGTCAAATTTCGACCAATCACATTTGAACTTGAACACAGCACGAATATTATAATTAAGAATGCATTCTAACAGGCCTTATGCATGACCCATTAATGGTGACACATCCTGGTACTCTCGGGGGTATTCTTACAATGATTTGGAATTTGTACCCCCAGGAAGTAATACAATATGTGACAATCAGAAGATGATGCATAATGTGAGTAAATCAATGAACAATACAAGTTTTGTTTATAGGAGAAAAGTACCAGAATTACAAGAGTGGCACTTACCAAAGTTCCAATTTTTTGTTTCTTTCCAATTTTACCAAGAACGCTGCTCAAACCAGTACCTGGTCTTTTAACCCTGTGTAGTATTACTTTATTAAAGTATTACTTTAAGACTAAATGGTTCTAAATAAGTAC